TTTGTCTATAAAATATGAATGCATTTTGTTATCATCTTTACGTCCAGGGATAAATATGTAAATTTGCATCTCAATTAATCACATGTGTTTTAGGATATGTTGCCAACAAAGTTAGCATAACCTTTGACCTATTACAGTTTGATCTCAACTTACAGCTATCTGAGTTTCTATCTCTTTAATGGTATCTTGTAAAGTCTTTCTTCCAATGCCTTGACCTGCAGTAACTACAGAAGCACTTGTCTGCTGGGTCGCCATCATAGCACACCTGAAATAACAACATGAAAGTACATTGTATACATCTGACATCAAAAACAATAGAATTCATTTAACACTGAAAGTGTTAGTGCCATGTTTGAAAGTCTTCCTTATTTGGAAAATTTGCATAACGTTTCTGTCACATTTGAGGATATTCTTTTGTTTACATAGGACACCCCTTGATAGAAGCCGCAACGCAGAACACCTTTTTGTTGCCATTTCAAGCTGTTATTAAATTACTACTACAAGCAGTAAATAATAATAAGGATATCATAAGCATACTGCAAAGTATGCAGTCAGGGAGACCTGCAGTGCATCAATCTCCACTCGGTAAATATGATCGCTGCACTGTTTTCATGCATGCATAAATTACGTGATAACCTCATAATATTACATAAAGTTATTATAAAATTACACTGATACAAACATACACTACCAAACCATCAGCGGGTCCAGTACGGTAAATAAAAAGTATTACAAGACTAAATACAATACAATAAAAAAAATAAGAATAAAATAAAAGACTGGGTTAAAAAAGAAAAAGTAAAAAATTACTGCAATGAATTATAGTTTATTTATCATGTAAAGTAATTATCACAACATTTCATAGGAGTGAACATTTCATTGCATCAATCGGGGGAATTTACGAGTATACCAACTTTCGTGGAAAAATGTGAGGAGATCCGAAAGTGTCAAATCAAAATGATTTATATTAAGCAGATCATAAGCATATCGCCCATGAGTTGGTGATATGAACATACATACAAACCTCTGAATGACTTGTTTTATTTTTTTTTTAGAAAAGTTTTTCTTTTTTGTTTTCTTTTTTAGATTGTAGTTTTTTTTTTTAATTTCTTTCTGTAAGACCCTTTTTATCCTTTCCTAAGGATTTTATGCGTCTAATAAAAATATATATATGTGCCAAGATATACAATAGGATGGCCGTGGATCTGCGGTGTTTTGTCTCAAGGTAGTTTATTGAGGCCATGTATACCAAAAGGGAAATGTGCTACCCAAACTCAAAACCTAGGAGACGCCCCCCCCCCCCCCCAGAGTTATCCCTAATTACTTAAATTCGTAAATAAACTGTTACTACATTCACAGCAGACCTGTATACAAAGTTAACCTCGGAATTTACACCACCACAATGTGAACAATGAAGAAGCCGTCACCTAATCAACTTATTTAAATCCCGCGATATTACCGGTATATCACTTACAGATTATTCCATGTTTGAATTTACTCAATCCAGTAATGATCTGATCCGACACATAAATTTACTATTTACTGTACGACTAAGGTGATCGTAAATCGCATGTAATTGTACCGAGCACAGTTAGCATAAACCGTGATACAAGTAACAATTCCGGAGAGTGACAAAAACATTATGCGACTTAACATAAGTCGAAATATAGACTTCAGAGGTTTGTCAATCAATTCAAACACAGTACGAGTACTCACCCGGATACAATTAGATATACTACTCCTGATATGCGCGAACCACTGTTTTCATCACACTGGTACAGCAGTGGCCATGTTTGTTTTTATCTTTCGCTAGAGGGCGCATTTTTCATTATCTTCCGCTCATGTTGTTTGGTGGCGCTGTTCACCGGCGTAATTCAATAGTTTCCCAGTCAGTAAGAGTGCCAGCCGATTGAAGAGTATGTAACTTTGAAATACAAATACTCAGTACAGCATATTTAACAGAATTTAAACTTCGTTTAAGTAGTTGCGACAATTGGAAAGATGTTACGGTAAGCACATTCGATAAACACATTTTTGTCGTTTTTTTTACTCCGAAATAAAAAAAAATTGTTGAAATATAGTTCAATCCTAGATATAATAAAAACCGGCCGTGTTGAATTTTTTCCAAAAAAATCCGATTGATATTGGACACGACTGTGTCAATGTTCGGTACACCTCTATGTATGTTGTTAGTTACATAGGCGATGATTGAAAAATTTACAAAAATGTTACAAATGTGTTCCTTATGTAAATATTTACCATGATTTCAAACGTATGAACATGAATTAAAATATGACCCAAATTCGACGACTCTAATACAGTTTGTAGTATTTTAGCTAATTTTGTATTTCAGATTCTGAGATTATTTTACAACTCAATCCGAGGGATTACGCTATATTACTCATAGATTCGTTTTAAAAAAAACATTTTCCTCAACAGCCATGGCGTGAATGAGCCGTACCGTGACTAATGAGATTAGCAATGTAATTTTGTCGAAACTATCCAATAAATTGCAGAAAAGGAAAACTAGGCAAAACAAACGCTTTCTGGTTAAGTGAGATCATAATAATCTGTTGTTGTGTTTGGCAGCGTTTCCATGGATATTAGCTGAATTTTGGATAAGTTTTTATATAAAATATATAAATAAAATAAAAAACAAAACTATATATCGTATTTGACGCCGACCGGAAAATTTCGAGCCTTCAATCACAAATTGTATTAGAGAATGTGGATAGAAAATTTTACCTATCAGTATATCCAGCAAACAAAACAGTTTATCATTCGATTACAACGCATTATCTCTCAGTCTATGCATGTTATTTTCAGTATGCATTGACCTTTATGGATCTTTTTCATCAACGTTCTCATGCACAGCATATTTCTATCACAGTGACGACGAATATACTTTCTGCTATATTCGCGGATGTACTGTTTTTGAACACATGGTTGAAGTGAAGATTAATGCCGTAAACAATACTATCAGTTAATTTTACGTTTCCAACAATCAGATTATCAGAAACACCCACCAGGGAAATAAGATTAATTATATAGTTTAGCCATTATGACAAGTAATACTGGAACATACATAATTCCCAACCTTTTTAGTCACTTTGAAAATATTGTTATCCGATTTTACCTAGTGTCCGACATGTTTAATTTACCTCTATGTATTTAATTGATTGTCATTTTGTGAGAATACTTCATAGTTTGGATTAGCTGTCATAAAGTACTTTTGAAAAATATTTTTTCCCAACAAAACAATTACAATTCATTGATGGAAAAATGAATGTAATTACTTGTAGCCAATTTCTACATTTTATTTACTTTATTTTGGTTTATTCATTTTGAGCGTTTTACTTGCTGTTATTCATTTTTCTTACCCAGAAAATAGTAGTAAATAAATATGGAAATACAAAATAAGTGCAGATGATTACCATATACATACCTTAATACAGTAAATTCATAAATTAATTTTGCTACCTTCGCTAATACTAGTAAGTAAAATTCGTGGATTTAAAACCCAGTAATTATGTTCAAAATATTACAATAGTGAAAATAAACGGCTTTGCAGTATTAGATCACTATCAAAGTCTTATATCCTTGCACGTAAATAATAATTAATAAATATTACTAATGAGCATATAATGAGTTTACTATATTGAGTTGAATTATGCTCAATCAGAGATTACAAAATCAATTAATAGGTGAGTGTAAATCAAATCATTTTTTGGACGTTCATTCGAAAACGGTCACGACCAATGATCCTGGATGCAATATTACATTGCTGAAATGTACGTTATCTTAAGTAACGTACATTTCAGCTCAATCAGGAAACTCGAAGTAAATTTGAAAACAATTTCTCTATGTTGTCCAAAGGTCGCTATCAGGGTAACGCATATTTCAATAACGTAATGATGCTCTTCATTCACATATATCGCGTCCAACATTTGTGTTTTATATAAGCCCAGTTTGTACCCTTAATGTAGAATGCGACATATATAGGAATTCCCTTCTCAAATATGAGCTTGTAAATGCTTGGGACATTATTTGAACCTTGTTGAGTTTGTGTGATTACCACCATCGGTTAGAAATCCTGACTGAAAGTACTGACATGCTCAACCATCTCTAAATGTGCGTCAGCTGATTAAGTGTCATAAGTGATATTTGAACGAGTCGGGTGACTGTCACATTTATTTTTTTTCACAAAAGACCAGAAATGTAAAGAATTTGAAAAATCCAAATTTCGATAGTTTTGAAATAGTCGAGGAAAATTGGACAATTCTTTTTTTAATTCCGAGCGTAAATTGGAAGAGTTATATGCAATTAGAAAACGAGAACGTTTGAATAAGATACGGGCTGCTGCTTTCCCCTTTTGTAAACAAATTAAGTCGCTGGATTACCGGGAAGGAAACCTTTTGCGTTTTACGTCGGACTTTAGAAACTCTTCAGTGTAAACAACATCAGTATAAAACAATTCCAAATCGTCGTCGATGTTAGCAAATGAAAATAATACACTCAAGGGCAACGACGACAGTTAAAGGGCGGTAGTCGTCGCTCCACGCATGCGGGAGATATATGGGTCTCATATAAATAAAGATGGCGACTTCGACTGTTGCGAAGATCAGCGAGTACAAACTGAGACGATTGTGGGAAAATCAATGTTTATCAACACAAATGTCGCACATGCGCAGCGCGACGACTACCGCACGAAATCAGCACGCTTGAAATTGAAATGGATTTCTGTTAAGCAGGTAAGATTGACCCCCAAAGCTTGATACTGTCGCCTGGTATTTAAATAAACATTGACAGCCATTTTTGTTGAGGACAGTGGTTGGATTTGTAGTGTGTTTACTAGCCTTCACGATTATATGATATAAAAAGAAGACATGGAAGTTACACGTGATAACTAAAACACATGAGAGAGAGACTCTATCCCAGCGTTAAAATGAAATTTTAAAGTTGTTTATCTTGTGGTAGCTTGTGGGTGGTGCGTTCTTTACTTAATCTAAAAGATTACCAGGGTTTCTGTTTTCTATATTGTCCATGTAGTCTGGCAGATGTCGGCTTCTTTATCGAGTACTTGAACTGAATTTTACCGAAAATATATTGGGCACTCACTACTGAGAGAGATACAAGATAAACGGTGCTTGCATTTGTGTAATTACTGAACGCCATTACACGTTAATATTCAACATTAAAGAGTAGTGAAAGTGGGCGAACTGAGATAACGCGTTAATTTGACGCTATGTTGATTGGATTTCACACTAGCTCGGTGAAGTCTGCGTTGTTTTACATTATTTAAAATCATTCAGCTGCAATCTTTCCCGACTTGCTCCGGTGTCAAGAATTAACAACGCCTCAGGGTAAGTCATCAATTAATACATCAATCTATCGGGATTAAT